CAGGTCAAAGTTCAGGAATTCTGGAAAATGTGTACCTGCCATCTGGTCCAGATGGCTCCCCATGATCCAGCAATCTAAGAAATTAAAAACAAGTTAGCTGCCCCCAACTCACCCAGTATACAAAGGTGGAGTAAGAGCCAGACAACCACATAAAACTGTGACACAGAAAAGCTGAGAAAGGAAAACCTGTAGTGGTCACTTCTCTATAGCAATATGAAATTCTATGGGGCAGAAAGAGAGACTTCCTTTCCTGACAGTGTCTGGGGCCTTTAGTTCTGCTTTCTAGGAAACTCTTTCTGGGGCTTCTAGTTTTGCTCTCTAAGAGGTTCTTTCTTGTCCCTGATCTCATCCGCAATAGACATTAGGGAACACCAGGGAGCTGCTGACATTTCATAGCTCACTTCCTGTCAGTGGTGCAATTCTGTTTTCTTCAGAAAAAAAACGTATTTTTTCCTCTTGGTCTTCATGCCCCTTTCCTTACTTCCTCTTCTGGACTGTCCTTGATGCAACAGGAAAGAGAGAAAGTGCTGCAGTACCTTTCTTTTCCATCATCCCAGTTTTGAGTAAAACTCTAAGATTGTTATTATTTTAACTTTTAATCTCTTTACTTCTTACCAGAAAGAAAAAGAACATCAGTCCAAATTTCCCTATACAGTTCATCTATGCCAACCTCAAAAGTTTTTTACACTTAATTCAAAAACCTTAGTCGACCACCTACCATGTGATGCACACAGGATCTCAGGTTCAAGGAGATCCTGGTCCCCATCTTGCTATGGTGGTTACAGGGTATATACAATTAACACTCATCAAACTGTATTCTTAAGATCTGTTCATTTTATTGTATGTAAAATATACCTCATTAGAAATGTAGGCTATTCAAGAAAAGAAAACAAAATGTTTAGAGTTTATTATAGCTGGTATAATAACCGCAAATAAGTTAAATTTATGATGTGAATTTGACTACTCTGTGTGCTACTGTGCACAGGGCCCTGAATATCGGGTAAAGTAGATGGGCCCTCTCTATGGAACTGGAAATGTTAACATTTTGTAGTTGTTGTAATTGTCTGTTATACCATTTCATCAGCTGTAAAAATTATTTTTAAATGTGGCATATATCAGTAATAACATCATAAGCTTTTAGTTAGCAAATTCGAGTTCAAATTCAAGCTTTCTGTGACTTCAGGAAAATGACCCAAGCCTGTTTCATCTGCATAATGGAGATAATGCCCTACTTCACAGGGTTGTTGTGGTGACTAAATGAGTAAAGTGCCAAGTCACAGTAAACATTTCCCTACCCACATCACCTCCTTCTAATGCCTTTGCTGTTATGCCCTTCGCTAGGATTGTATTACCAATTATGACTAACACACAGAAAAACACTGGCCCTTTACAATGATTCACGTTATGAAAGTTTCCAGTTCTCAAAGTATTTTACACTTAATATACACAATTCTGTGATTCATTCATCCATTCTTATTGAACATCTACTATGTGCCAGGACCTGTGTTGGCCCCTAAAAATACAGTCCTGCATTTATGGAGCTTACATTCTACAGGTGAGAGTCAAGATTATTCATTTACATACATACATAAAATCAGGTGGGTAAAAGTTCTTTGAAGAAAAGTAAGGTGAGGTTAAGGAAGAGAATGATGGAGGGACAAGACGAGTGTAGGGGGGCCAGCTAGGTGGCATAGCGGTTAAGTTCGAGCACTCAGAGGCCCAGGCTTGGCCAGTTCGGAGCAGGGGCAGACCTACACACTTATCAAGCCACACTGTGCCAGGCGTCCCATGTATAAAATAGAGGAAGATGGGCACAGATGTTAGCTTAGGGCCAATCTTCCTCAGCAAAAAGAGGATGGCAGATGTTAGCTCCTCCTCAAAAAATAAAAAAAAAAGACGACAGGTGTAGGGTTTGCTATTTTACATAAGGATGAGAGGAGCCATCTCTATCAAGGTGACAATGGGCAGAGATTAGACTAAAGAGAGGAAGCCAAGCATGTGGATATCTGGGAGAAGAGTTCCAGCAGAGAGAAGTTAACTCAGACACCAAGGTGAGAATGTGCCCAGCCTTTCTGAGGGACAGAAAGAGATCAAACAGCAACAGTGCAAGTGAACATGGGGAAAGAATCCTAGGCGATACAGAGATCAAAGGCACATGAAGCCACATTACACAGTCTTGTAGGCTACAGAAAGTGAGGATTCAGGATTTTATTCCCAGTGACAGGAAGCCACTGGAAAGTTTTGATCAGGGTGTGATGTGATCTGACTTTTAAACGAACCACTCTGGATATTATGTGGAAAGTAGATTTTAATGAGGAGGAGAAGCAGAAGGGCTGTGAACATCTAGGACAGCAATTCTCAAACCTGAGTTGCATCAGTAACCTAGAGGACTTGTTAAGACACATATTGATCACAAAAAAAAGCTGTACACAAATATTCATAGCAGCTTTATTCATAACAGCTAAAAATTGGGAACGCAGATGTCCTCCATGTCCATTCATACCATGGACTACTACTCAGCAATAAAAAGGAATAAACTGTACACACAGCCTAGATGAATCTACAAAGAATTATGCTGAGTGAAAAAAACAATCCCAAAAGGTAACTTACTATGCAATTCCATTTATATAACTATCTTGAAATGACAAAGTTATAGAAATGGACAACAGATTACTAGTTGCCAGGTGTTAGAGACTGCGGTGGGGTGTGGGTGAGGAAGGTTGGCTGTAAGAGGGCAATGTGAGGGATCCTTGTGGTGATGGAAAAGTTCTGACTGGATCACTGTCAATATCCTGATACTATAGTTTTACAAGATGTCACCATTGGGAAAAACTAGGTAAAGGGTACAAGGATCTTTCTGTATCACTTCTTAGACTGCATGCAACTCCACAATTACCTCAAAATGACAAGTTTAATTTAAAATAACGGTTGAAGTAATTAAAACACACAGGCATTGCTGGGCCTCACCCTCAGTTTGAAAATGTGCATTTCTAACAAGTTTCTAGGTGATGCTAGTCTGGGATCAGCTATGAGAACCACTAGTTTTAGGAAATAACACCTGGAGCAAGTATTATTATTATTATTCCTATTTTGTAGAAAAATCTGAGCCTAAAAAATAAGTGACATCTCCACCAAAGAGGTAGGAACTAAGTGGCAGGGACAGAACTCAAACCAGGTCCTACCAGCTCAGCGTTTTTGTGTTAAGTAATTCAAGGTCAGGAATAATCTTAATTGTAAGGTCTCTCTAGTGTATAGCACAGAACAGAGGCCAACGCTTGTTTAATTGGATTGCACTGCCCTAAAAACTAAATTTCAGGACCCTGACTGGTGGCATAGTGGTTAAGTTCTCACACTCTGATTTGGCAGCCCAGAGGTCAGAGGTTCAGATCCCGGGCGCAGACCTAGCAGCACTCGTCAAACCACACGGTGGCAGCATTCCACATAAAATAGAGGAAGATAGTCACAGATGTTAGCTCAAGACCAACCTTCCTCACACAAAAAAAACAAAAAACCACTAAAATTCAATAAAATTTAAGAGCTTAGTTGTAAACATTTCGAAAATTTTAAGAAGTACACAATTAAACTGTGTCCTAGTCTCAGCTCTTATCCTGTGCCTTGAGTAAGTGCTTAAACTCTGTTCCTTAGCCTCCTCAGATGTGGGATCAGGGGAACTGGTCCCTCCCTACTTAAATCTGGATTTCCTACTTTAAAATCTACTGGGTTTTTATAGGCAGCTACAAGTTAATCCCTAAAACAATATAAAACCGGTTACATTTACTAACCATGTTAGTATTTCATCAAAATGGACACCTGCCATAGCTTTACCTTCTCAATTTCTGGAAATCCTGAATGAGAAAGGAAAGAAAATGTATAAATACTAACTGGACAAAAGTTTCACTGATGACACTAAAATTTAGCAGGAAAAATGGGGTGGGTGGGGGGGGAAGGAGGAGAGGGCCAGAGCCTTCAGCAATTCTGTGGGATTCAGAAACTGCTAAGAGTTTTTTAGCAGGAACATACGTGCCTGGATTCATGGAGATCTGAGGCAATTACATTAAGCGCTTACCAAAAATGCTCTTCCTGCAGTTAGCTCTCAAGAATTCCACTTTAAAATCCCTTTATGCAATAAACTTCCACAATAGTTTCCTATGCCTCCATGGCAAAGGCAACAAAACTTGAGGAAATAGGCTTAAATACCTAAGAGGATTTTACATCAGAAATAAGGAAAAACTTTCCGGTAATGATAGCTCCAGTCACCTAATATTACATTCATGATCATTCTCTACTTAAACAATGAATGTTTAAAACACTCAATCCAATAAGCTCCTGCCAAACTGTATCACATCTTGTTTCAGGCCTACTTTCCTACGTTAACTACAATTCCCAAAACTAACTAAAAAAGAGCTATTTGGTTACAATTACAGAAAAACCTAAATAATAAAAATAGGTCTCAAATCCAGACAAAGATCCCAGGAAACCAGGATCTAGAACTGAAAACTAGTTCCCACTCACTGCCTTTTCTTCCATCAGAAAACAGTACTGCTATTCTGTGTAGCTCTCCATGGGCTCTTCCCCAGCCAGCTCCAGTTTTCAGCCACCACTGAAGGAAATCTTAGATTCACATCTAACTCACAAATAAATCAGACACAATTCCCCAATGCCATTCCCATCCCCAACCAATAGAATCACAGGACCCGTATTTCTTTCAATCAGAACTTTGCTCCAATGCAGTGCAGGAAGTAAAGGCCTAGTTTGTCAGAAACTGAGAGCTCTCTATACCTTTATTACCTCAGAACATCACAGAGGGAGTGATTAATTCAATGCAAAGGGAAACTGGAATCCATTTGCTAAGTGAATGGCCAAGAATTAACTTGGAAAGTCTCTTATTTTTTAAGGTAGCATCTAGGAATATATATAAATTCCCTGCTTTGAAAAAGTACCAAAAGACCAAATTTTTACCTCATAGTCCTATTATGTTCAATTCAAAAAAACTCAAGACATAACATTGTTAAAAACATTTATTTTGATACAGTCTATCATAAATAAGTCAGTAGAGGGTCCACTCTGCCACAGATGCATCTGAGAAGAGCCCCGTGCCATTCAACCGGTGAACGTCTGAACGATGTCTCATCTCTTATGCCAGCCAGAGCACACACCTTCCATCTTGTTCCTGTCCATTGACTGCTTCCAAATCCAGATGACCAAATAGTCCTTTATCCCCAAAGTAAGCTAAAATGTTTGTGAAGAGGAAAAATAAATTAAATCCCAAAGTAAAAACTTCTAAAACAGTGTAAGAACTAGAAGATTTTACATATTTACATTTGTGTTCACTCATCTGTCAAATTCAGTTACTAGAAGACAAGCATCAATCTCACTGAGCAAAAAAATCAAACACAGACACCTATGTTTAAAGAAATATGGTTTTGTTACTTTTGAGTGTGGTTATCTATTATAAACAAAAAGGAAAATGTAAGTCGAGGTCAGTTAAAAGATAGATAATGATTTTCATTAACATGAAGGAATGATGAACCCAAAAAATAAAGCTATAATATTAGCAGATGCAACACCACCATAACTAAAAATAACATTTATTGAATGCTTTCTATGGGTCATTGTACAGAAAGGTCACAACTCCCAATTATGATCCCTATTTTAAAGATGTAGAAACCAAGGCCTTGAGATGACTACATATCCTAAGTGGTAAAGTGGGATGGGACCCAGGTGCTCTTAACCCTTAGTCCACACACGTCCCAGGAGCAATGAGCCTTCACTTCTACCTCAACTAATTCTTAACCCAAACATTCCAGCCACTAACTAGCCCAAACTCCTGCATCATTTGCTGACTAAGCAACAGGATCCAGGAAGGAGACAAGAGGTGTTTTATTTCTCAGTCCTGTTCATTAAAAATGTGATTTCTAATAGTATGTCAACTTAAATAAAACTGCATTACAAAATGACAATTTGAGCATTATATAAAGTTTATTTTTTAAAAGTATTTACACTTTGCCTGGGAGTAAAAAAACCAACATGCATCTATTTCCAGTTTTGAAATGTGTATTAAAATCTCCCATTAAACCCCAAGTACTCTGGCATACAGTTAAGATGAAAATAAATTATTCATTTATTAAGGTCTCTTCCTCAATGGTAATGAGCATCCAAAATAGAGAAAAGAAAATCTTCCTTGGCCTTATACAGATAACAGGAATAACGATTCTCTTAGTTAACCCTAGTATTCATATATTTTTGCCTAAATAGTATTCTACTAAGATACTGCCCGTTATTCATTAAAATATTGCATTTTGAATAAGTCATTCACATCAACCAACATTTGCTGACCACGTACAATGCACCATTCGGGTGAAAGATGAATGTGGTCCTAATCCCAAGGAACCCAATTTAGCAAGGGAAACAGACCAGTAAATCCTGAAGTACAATATTTATGTAAGTATTATTATAGAAATAAATTTACATATAAACAATAGTCATGCACCACACGTTTTGGTCAACGACAGACCACATACATGACGGCTGTCCCGTAAGATTAGTACCATATAATCCAGGTGTGTAGTAGGCTATACCATCTAGGTTTGTATAAGTACAATCTATGATGTTCACACAATGACAAAACTGCTTAACAAGACACTTCTCAGAACATATCCCCATTGTTAAGCGGCACATGACTGTAAACTTTATATTAATGAACAATAAATTTTGTATTAATAAAAACCCTGGCAGATACAATTCTGTTCCTTTCAAGGTACAGATGAGGCAACCCAGGAAGACCTTTCTAGTCAGTCTCCCCAGTGCAAACAGCACAGTATATGAAATTCCATAACTGGATAATCCTTTTCAGGTACTCAATCAACTCTTTCCTAACTTGCAAATACCTCTGGAAGGAAACCAGAAGATGTTTCCAGTGACAGAAAAGAATGAGAGAGTGAGCACCAGAAAGGAAAGGAGCACCAAGGAGACAATAAGGAGAAGAAAAGAAAAACCAGGGAGGGTGGTTGCTTCATCTAGTCTGCAATTTTGAAGGGTCAAGTCTTAGTGGGATAATTGAAGCCAAAAAGAAATACAACAGAAGGGCACATTCTATCCCCGTCTCTGGATCCTAGGGCACCTAGGTCACAAAAAATGCTACTTCCCATAACACAGGTCCGTTCTAAAAATCATACCACAAGATGCAATGCTGTATCGATTCCTGTCCAAAGGGCCAAGAGGTTAGTTAGGGTCATTTAATTAAGTTAATTAAACACTTGTTGGCAGCTACTTTAGGTGCTTACAGGACAAAATATAATGTAAATAAGCAACAAGTATAACATAAGGCAGAGAATGACAGACACAAAAGGATACTACAGGAACACAAAAATTGGAGTGATTTCAGCTAAGAGAATGGGGGAAAAGATTTAGGGATGAGGTGACATTTGAGATTGGGTTTTCTAGAAGCACGTTTTCATCAAGTAGAAACTGAAGAGTATTCCAGGCTGAGGGAACACAAGCATATGGACAAAGGCATGAAAATATACATCTTATTCTAGGATTAGCATGCAGGTTCTTGTAGCTAGAGCATAGGTCTCGTAGGAGAAAGATGTGAGGTAAAGGAGATGACATAGAAAAGATTAAAATTACTATAAACAGTTTATTGCCCATATATTACTTATTAGTTGATAAGTACTGTTAATACTTTACATACAATATACTTGATAAGTACTATTAATACTTTACATGCAATATTCTTATTCAATCTTCATGGCAACCTTATAAAACAGATTATGCCCAACTTATAAGAGGAAACTTCATCTTAGAAAGGAAGGTTAATGGCCTCTTGGGGAAAGGTATTTGATGACAATTTCCAGTGCCTGGAAAATGTTCACACAGCTTGACCAGGTAGTCCCATCTCTGATAATGTTTCCTAAGTTAATGTTTCCCTAAGAAATAACTGGTCTAAGGTCAATCAGCTAGTAAGTAGCAGACATATTACCCCAAGTCACCATTTTACAGAAAAGGAAAGTGGCAGTTTGAAGAGTAAAGGCTAAGAAAAAAGGAACCTAGTGGAGATCTCTGAAATAAGTTTTAAGATGCCATACCATAAAACGTTAAAGGGAGAGAGGGAAGTGAGGAAAGGAAGCAGTGAGTGAAGACCATTTATTGAAGAGCTTTATCAGGGAAAAGAGAATAACTGCAGAAATGGACAAGCTGAGGGCACACACGGCAGTAAACTTGCAAAAGATAAACCTCTTCCTCTGAGGAAGGAGAGGCTGGCAAGGCAGAGCAGGTGGAAATTCCTATCAGATGGCACTGTTCTAAGTAAGAGGGATGATTATCTGGGGAGGCCACGTGGCCCAGTGGATAGACTGTAGGCTTTGGAGATAGACATATTCCACCACCAACTGACTGTGGAACTTGCTCTGAAGGTCTGAAGTGACAATTAGAGATAGTGTATAAAAAGCATCTAAAACAGTGGCTGACACATTGTAGGTGACTATTAGTAATATTACTATTATTTTCTGCACATTCCAGAAAAACGTGGCTTAGGGTAGGAGTTTGAAGAAACTGAAGACCGAGAATAGTCACTGAAATGTCTGTTAGGGAAATCCACAAGAAACATCTGTAAGACAGGGTCAAGCTGAAATCCCACAGCACCTGTGCAGGGGGCCTGGTCATCACAGTGCCATGAGTATCAGTCCCTCCTACAGAGCAAGCCTGCCTGTTCCAGATTCTGCTTTAATATATATGAAATGCGCACATATATACGTATCATTTTCACAAGTATACATATATATGCATATACATGAGTATATGAATATGTATACTATGTATCTCCTTGTGTGTGTGTGCGCACGCGCGTGTGAAGTTTTTACAAGTCCTTATCTAACAATGGCAAGGTTGTTTCTGAAAAAGGAATTTGACAATGCATTTTCAGAGCCATAAATGTTCGTACACTGATTTATTGATCCCATGAGAATTTATCATAAGGATATAACTAAAACCTGTAAAAACCTATGTGCATATACATGTTCATTATTTTGTTATGGAAAATACTAAAAAACTGAAAAACCTAAGTGATCAACATCTGGAAAAATCTATGTACTAACAAAATCCTACGCATCCTTGTTAGAATGATATAAAAGGTTATATTTATCTCAATAAAGATGAGAATATGGGAAATTAAAAACAGTTCACCTTTTAAAGTGGTAGGATGATAAATTAATTCTTTTTCTTTTAAAATACATTTCATTATGGTTATAAAATAACCATACAGTACAGTAAATAAAAACTAGGAAAGGAAGAGAAAATAGTTACTTTATAACATTAGCGTAGACTGGTCTGCAAACTGTTGCAGTTCTCCAAAACTATGCTGACTGGTAAAGCTCCAGTGCAATGCCTCCACTAGTACTCTTCTGCTTCCCCATGATTCAGTACTAACATATGAACAATTGCCCTGAAATGTTCATTTGTAAGAGCAGTACCTCAAAACGGTTGGTTCAGGCATTCCAGGATCTGCACCCCTCTTGAATCCTAGGGGAGAGGGAGGAGAGAGAAAGAGAATAAATACTAATTAAAACGCTAACAGACAAAAAATTGACAACCAGGACTTTCTTTCCTTTTTAAATCAACCTAGGGTAGCTAGAATGATGTCCAGATTTACCAGCACTATCTAGATTTACCTGTGCTACAACAGTCTTGACTCTTCAGTAGGGTATGAGATTATGTCCAGGACTAACCAGTAGGGAGTACGAACTACCTTATTCTTATTATACACAATTAGCACAGTTGCCCTTAGCATGCACTATCTTTCATGATTAGTCATTACCCAGAAAAAAGATACCACAACCACCAAATCATACTGGAAAGACTATAAAGAGCAAAAAGATTTTTTTTAAAAGACTAACTAAACTTTAAAAAAAAAAAAGATTGAGGACAGTATCTTATTTTATCCCCCATGAACCTCTCTTTTTATAAAGCAATCAAAGATTGGTGATAGAAAAAAGAGGAAAAAAAACCATTCAAGTTATTGTTTAACAACCTAATTAAGTCAACACTCTTATTACAAGTATGATTAAACAAACCTTTTACCATTTAAAACATACCTATTAATTAACTAGATGACACATATGGTAATTTACTGAAATAACTGATTAAAATTAGAGATGGCATCAAGAACTGTGAGGAGTATGAAATTTTACCCCATTCCCAAGAAAACAAACTAGCCTACCAATTTCACAGATGCCGGCGGAAGACACAAGATGCCAAGTAAGCAGCAAAGGACAGTTTATTACTCCCTGCAACAGCTGTAGTCAGACTATCATCATTTAGCAGATGAATCCTAAGTTTAGGGCACCAGAATCTTTTACAATGTGCAGGGAGCATGGTTTCCCTTGCTCTGGAGGAAGGTACTATTTTCCAAGGCTATTCACTCCACAAACATCCTTAAAAAAGATAATATGGAACAAAGGACAGTCAGAGCCTCTGCTCACAAGATCTGCAGAAATTCAAAAGACCACGGAGAACTGTCTTCCAACAGGTGACTCATCAAAATCGTTTTTTGGTAAATGTCCACACAGATTCTTTATCATCCTGTCACAGTCAGTGCTATTTCATAGCACTCTACTCCCTCTATTCCCTGATATATATATCCCTATATACTCCTACTATACTCCCTGAAGCCCTGAAAGGTATGTTTGAATCTAAACTAGACAAGAAATTCAATCTACAGGTGCAGGTTTTGCTGAGAGCTGAGGTGGAGAAGTAAATGAAACGACCTGAGAACTAGGTTAGAAATAAAATTAAATTTATATTCAGCTCAAAGGAAACAAGAGCAGGCTAAAACAGGACCCCATACACAAAACAAAGGAAAAAAAGAGGTGGCACAAAGAAGCGGAAGAATCAAAGCCCCGCACCTTTCTTAGCTAAAAGGTGAGCTAATCCCAGTGTCTGACTAGCCAACCTGGGCCCTTCTACCATTAAGTGAAAGTTGGGGAGTCGTGAAGTTTGGGAGGAAGAGGCGGAATGACAAGGGCCCATAAGGGCAGGTTGTCATAATTATTTGTTCTAATCCTTGATACCTATATAAAGTCACTAAAATCTGGGAAAGTAATGTTTTTAAAAAATTGCGTTCAAGAGGCCAGCCAGGTGGCATAGTGGTTAAGTTCACACCCTTGGCTTTGGTGGCCCAGGGTTCCAGGTTTGGATCCCGTGCGGATCTACACCCACTTAGCAAGCCATGCTGTGGTGGTGTCCCACAGACAAAATAGAGGAAGACTGCCACAGATGTTAGCTCAGGGCCAATCTTCCTCGCCAAAAAAGAAAAAAGAAAAAAAAAGCGGACATTCAAAATAAGGGTGGAGAAAGATCTTTTTGAGTCCTGGATACTAAAGTACCCCAGGTTATCAGTTGCCTTGCAATTCATGGGGAAACAGGAGCCACAGCCGCCTGGAGAACATCCAGCATAATCAAAGGCCCTGTCAAAACTAAGAGTGAATGTACTTTTTCTTAGACAATGCACAACACCTAAAACACACAGGAAGCAGTACCTTGTTAAAATCACAGGATTTTAAAGTGTGAAACTGAGTTTCAGAAAATGTCACACTTTATGCTCAAACTGACAGAGCTGGGGCTCTTTCCTTTCCACCATATTGCCTGAGTAGGGCAATCAGATTTAAAAAAGAATCACTGAAGGCTACAAATAAGATAAAGTCCCAGTGTGCAGCCCTAGGGGGAAACATCTGCCTGAGCACTTACAAACCTTTACAGTACAGCAGAGGGGTTAAGAGCACAGGCCTTGAAGCCCCATTGCTTGAGTTCCTACCTCCCCCACTAACAAGCGTGTGGCCTTCAGCAAGGAACAAAACTTCGCTATGACTCGGTTTCCTCACCTGTAAAATGAGATCTATAATAAAAATCACCCAAACCTTTCATTATACAGATGAGAAAGCAGAGACATCCAATAACCAGTCATGATCATGCTTCAAGGCAGTGGCATATCCACAAAGTCTACAGGCCTGTTTCCACTTAGGCCACCTGGAGCGGTGAGGACAAATGCCCTGAAAACCACCCAGTGCCAAAGAGTGAATCGTGCGCTTTCACATACGTAGGTCGTCTAACTCTCCCAACAATCCTGAAAAGTAGGTCATCTTCATTTTATAGACGTAAAAATAGAATGGGAAGGATTACATGACTTGATGAAGACCATAATAATAGCAAAGGATAGAACAGGAACTCAAACTCAGGTCAGACCGACCCCACTGGACCAGACGGCCTCAAAGGACACGCGCGCGGCGTGGTCCCGTTTCTCTCTCCCGCACGAGACAGGCAAAAATGGAGTCGCAGCCTCCGCACTCCCTTCCCTCCCGTCTCCTCCCAAATTCTTCTCCCACTGACCCAGGTAAATCACGAGAGGAATAAAGCCCCAGCGGATGGCAAACTGGCCGCCCTTGAAGAGCTGCTGCAGCCTCTGCTTGGCCTCTTTGCTCAGCTTCACCATGGCGACGGCTTGGACGACACAGCGAGGAGCCACAAACGCAGCGACCGCCTCAGGAATCCGAAAAAGATAGCACATGCGCAAGCGCCAGACGCGGCCTTTACGGCAAGAGTCGTGAGCGTCGCCAGCAGAGGTCGTAATTCACCCTGTTAATCCGCCTCGCCCTCCCCGCGCCGCCGGTGGAGGACGCATGCGTGGTTGGTTTTCCGTGCTTGGAGGCCCATTTCAAGGTCCCTAAGATTTAGCAATCGCGTTGTTTTGTGATTGCCGGTTATTTGAGGAACTGCTGTTGGGGGGGTTCCCTCAGCCCGGAACGCCCTCTCTCTTCCCACAGTCCCATTCATTTTTTTTTTTTTAAGATTTTATTTTTCTCCTTTTTCTCCCCAAAGCCCCCCAGTACATAGTTGTATATTTCTCGTTGTGGGTCCTTCTAGTTGTGGCATGTGGGACGCTGCCTCAGCGTGGTCTGACGAGCAGTGCCATGTCCGCGCCCAGGATTCGAAGCAACGAAACACTGGGCCGCCTGCAGCGGAGCGCGCGAACTTAACCACTCGGCCACGGGGCCAGCCCCCAGTCCCATTCATTTTTTTGAAGCGCATATCTAAGTGTTCCTTGCTTGATATAGAGGGAACATTAGATTCAAAAGGACTGAGTTTTAGTCCCGACTCTTATTCTGACTTGCTGTTTAATAATCGACAAGTAATTTAACTTCTCTCAGGGTCAGTTTCTTTCTTCATACCGAAGGTTTAACTGCAAGAAGGTTCCGAACTGACGCCCAAGAGGCCCTTATCCATATTTTCTTTGACTCCCAGAGTGGTTGATTGTGGGATTTTTTTTTTAACATTTTAAATTACTTGCCAACATTTTAAAGTTTGGGAAATTTCACATGGAAATGTGGACTTTTTCAGAGAAGCTGGCGAATCCCATTGCAACACTTAACAGGACTAAGTGGGAAATGACACTCCCCTTCACCCATCTTCCCTCATGGGCTTGGAATTGCAGCGGTTCTCACCTCTGGCTGCACGTTAGAATCGCCTCAGGAGACAAAGGCGGACACCTGCCGGAGACCTACCTCCTGCTGCAGCGGACCTACTCCTAGGAATTCTGATTACTTTGGGGGCAGGGCCTGGCCATTGGTTTGCCTTTGAAGTTCCCCCGCTGATTCTAAAGTGTAGCCAGAGTTCCCAAATTATGATTCAGTGACTGTCTGGTGGCTGTTGGTGTTTGAGCTTTTGACCCCAGGTCTAGGGTTTGATTTCTAAGGCTTTGACCTTGAAGCCTTTCCTGGCTGATCCCCAAGATACGTGATGACATTTCCTGTTAAATTCTTAAAGTGCCCAATGACGCCTAAAAATTTCCCCTGGGTTTATGGCTGTACCTGTGCTTGGCTCATCTTCGTGATATACAACCTGTGTCTACTATGCCTGGCTCTGTGTTAAGCGTTTCAAACACAGTAATTCATTTTAATCCTTAAAAGAATTTAATATTGCATTGCAATAAAGCTTATTTTACTAATTCTTGTAAGGAGTAAAGTATGTATATATATCATAGACCTTATTTTACAGATGAGAAAACTATTTCTTTTCATCTTTTTATACAAAATACCTGATACATAGTAAGGATGCATTTTTGTCAATTGGACTGAACAAAACCAAGATCATTTGCCTTTACCAGACATTCTGCATGCTAGTCACTAGAGATAGAAAATTCTTTTAAAGGCACTGTCCTTAAGAATTTCATGTTTGAGTGGAAAAGAGGTGAGTAAACAGATGATTCCAATGCAATGTAAATCTGCTAAGTCCCACGATAAAGATATACACAAAATGGGAAAGCCGATGGAGGACACCTAACACTGCCTAGAGGAGTCAAGGAACTTTTGAAGAAGCCAATGGCAGTCAAATTGGAAAAGAGGAAATAGAGTAGAGAATCATTAAGGAGGTAAAATCAACAGGACTTGTTGGCCAAATGAATGTAGAGAGCAAAGTTGAAAGAGATGGTCAAGGATGACTGCCCAGTTTTGAACTTGTCTAAGTTAGTCTCACATCTCAATCTCCACAAAGTCTAAATTATATAGATTCACCTCCAGAGTGATTCCTACAATAGGGTTGGGGATTCAACCAACACTGTGAAGGTTGCCGGTTTGTAATGTTGGTTGGATACATTCGTTATTGAAGGAAAAAGGTTGAGAAAATCTCCTTTTACTCTTGATATACTCTCTCAGGTCTTCATGGCCTATCACTTAGAGCAGACTACAATAATAGCAGGAAGGTAACTGGTCTACCTACCTCTGGTCTCTACCCCCACTGTCTACACGCTATAGTCAACATCAGTCTTCTAAATTGCAATTCTATTCATGTCACTCCCCTTTTCTGAAACCTCCAGTGAGTTACCAAGGGCTACTTTCCTAAATCTCAGTTTTCTCTTCTGAAAATAAGTGTAATTTGTAGAATATTATTGTGAGAAATAAAACCAGTTAATGGTTATGAAAGGTTTTTGCAAACCTTAGAATGTTATACACATATTAAGTAACATCACAGTCAATGATAAAACATAGTGCCCAGCAAATGCTAAATGAGTAGAACCAACAAAGAAAATGAAATGAGTTAGGTGAGACCTAGCTTTGTGAGCTGAGATAATCAGGAAAAACTTCATGGAGAGAATGGGACTTAGTGGGCCTTGATGAGTGATTATAGGTCTAGAAACTCAACTTTATCTATTGAGGCAGAGATTGACTCCTTTCCTCCAGCCTTGATCCCTCAAGGTTTTCCTCCAGACTTAATATTCCTGCTACAAAACTTCAGTACTAACTCGTTAAAAGATACAGACATGCATCACTTAATGACAGAGATGCATTCTAAGAAACGTGTCCTTAAGTGATTTCATCATTATGCAAGTATCATAAAGTGTACTTACGCAAACCTAGATGGCTTAGCCTACCACACACCTAGGCTATATGGTACTAATTACAGGATCACCATCATATATGTGGTTCATCATTGACTGAAATGTTATTATATAGTGCATGACTACATATAAAAAGCAAACACGAGAGATTCCTCTCCTATTATAATAATAATCACCATATTTTGTACCTATGTGTGTAGAAAGAAATATGTAGAAATATACTCCAAACTCTTTGTAGTAGTAATTATCTCAGGGGACCAGGGAGGGAATTATTGAAAGTCTTCACTTTCCCTGTATATATCTCTGTAATGTGTTGTTTTTCATAATGAACATATATGACTTTCATCAAAATGAAAAACAATAAAGGTAGATTTTTAAAAAAAGCAAAACCCTCCAAGGACTCCCCATTGCCTTTACGATAAAAGATTAAAGATTCATTGCACAACCTACATGGTCCTTGGAGGCACCATATTGTCTCTCATCTCTGCTGTTACCTCTGCCAGAAATGCCTTCCCACATCCCTTTCTTTTTTACAGTCCAGTCAAGTATCTCCTCCAAGATATAATCTCCCCTGACCTGCTCCTGCCCCTATACAGGGCACATTGAATACTTCCTCCCTGCTGGCCCTACTCTCAAGTTGGTTTATCATTATTTATTTATGTGACTATCTACCCAAGTAGAGTACAGGCAGAGACTCTGTCTCATTCATCTTATATCCCCAATGACTGTATGTATAACACTTGTGGAATTGGTGAATGGATTTCATCAGGAGCTAACAGCCTTGGTTCATCATGCTACTTAGCCACAGAATGAGTATCTAAAATGCTTATACGTAAATTTGCAATTAGACATATCCTTGGCAAAAGAACTGACATTATCCTTCCTGGTGGGCAAGAACATGCAGACAACAAATTAGAAATGATAACTAATACTTACAGGGTGCTCACTATATGCATGCACTGTGCTAAGTGCTCACATGCCTTAACTCACTGAATCCTCATAACTGTGAGATGGGGACTGTATTATCATCCTCCTTTTATTGATGAGGAACCTGAGGCACAGGGAAGTGAAGTAAACTTGCCCAAGTTTATATAGCTGGTAAGCAGTAAAAGAAGAGTCTAAACCCAGTCACTCTTGCTCCAAAACTTGAATGTTAACCACAACACTAGACTGCCTTATAGGAGAGAATAAACACAGGACTAGAAGAAAAGCTGTTGTAAATTCTCAAAGAATATTTTCCTCAAGCTGTGATAGATAGAAGAACTCTTTCCATTGTACTGGAGTAACACATATGATTAGACCAAAAGCTGAGCAGTGACCTAAAGGGATGCTGACTAGCTGAACCAATCAGATCCTCTCTAAGTGAGATTTGAACTCAAGACAGAAATAAATAACAATTGGACTGAAGCTGGTAAGACAGAAAGAATAGAAGACATGAAGCAGTAGAAGGCACAAGTATGTAAAAGCCATGAAGTAGAAAATATTGAGTTATAATGATATTGAAGTCCTTGGATGGAGACTAACACACCTTCTGGTAAGAGAGCAAGATAATCCCACCTAGAGTTTGCTATGCCCTGAACAATCTTCCATTCCCTAACTTTGTTTCAAAGTTGGTAAACCTGGATATGCCGTGGTTCCTGTTCTGTGATGTAGAGGAAAGTGGAACTAATCAATTACATTATAACCCTCATGATCTCAGCTAATTGTAAAATAATAGAAGAGAGGTGAAGGCATAAAGGTGAGAAATGCAGGGAAAAAAAATCAGCTGTCAGGGTTTCACCAGCACCAGTTGAAGAAAAGGTGCTACTGACTGTGTTTTCTTAGAAAGAAAAAAACCTCTAGAGAGGATAAGATGGTTGAGCTCTTTTAGGTTTCAAGGAGGACAGAAACCTATGGAAACATGAGTGGTGAACATTTCTGACCGCACAGCCAGGCTTCACGGAAGAACAGGAACCACTCCTTTGAATATCTCTTTCCACATCTGTAAAATGGGAAGAGAGTAACTACTTGTTATGGACTGAATTTTGGCCCCCAAAAGTTTACATGTTGAAGCCTCAACCCCCAGTGGAAGGGTTTGGAGATAGGACCTTTAAGGGAGTAATTAAGGTTAAATGAAGTCAAGAGTGGGGCATCATTATAAGCATTGTCCTTATAAGAAGAGAAAAAGACAC